GAGAATCTTGCACTCCAAGGAAAAGCCACACAGTCGTCAAGATATTCATTTGGCATTGCATATAATGCCATAGATGGAAATCGTAACAGCAAATGGGAAGAGGCCTCCTGCACTCTCACAAAAAAATCAATGAGTCCATGGTGGCGACTTGATCTGCTCAAAACACATAAAGTGTTTTCTGTTAGTATCGTAAATCAAGATTCTCACCCAGAACGACTCAATGGAGCCGAAATCCGCATTGGAGAATCTCTTGAAAACGATGGCAACAACAATCCCAGGTACTTCACATTTCATCATGGCATGTCTTAACAGCTTATACTCTTCTTCTTTCAATTGCTCCTTTTATTAGTCACAGCAGTCAGTGTTGGGAAGGTTACTTTTAAAATGTATTCCACTACAGATTACAGAATACATGCCCCAAAATGTAATTTGTGACGTATTCTGTAACTTATCCTGCAAGTTAGTGTGAGTATTGTATTCTGAATATTTTGGTTTACTTAATATATTGTCATGCTTTTTACAACTAAATGAATATCCTATTGCTCTGTGATTTATTGCTAATACTGAAGGCTGTTCGCCACCAAGCTAACATTGTTAGCTGGCGTTAGCTGACGTTAGACTGAGGTTAGACTGATTATTTGCAGCTAGCAGGTTGTTAATGCTATCCATCAAGTCTAACAGCCTGCAGTCTATGAACTAACTAACCTGTTGAGAGCAGCTTGGCTCCTGGCAAACAGAGTTTGCATCGCCCATCCCTTTCTTCTTCAAAGCTGAAGTAGTGTCAGAATTTCCACATAAGAAATGCATTTCTGCTCGTTCATAATTAGTGATAATTGGTGATGCAGACAGGACAAACTGAATGAAATGGTGACACCTCCCCATCCTTACTTTTTACTCTTTTTTTAGGTTATAATTGGAAGCATACTAATATGCTGAGGCAAATGGGTAATCAGGTCGAAAGTCATAACTAGTCATGATTATAATTGTCATGGTGAGTTTATTATTGTATAGATGTTAGCATTTATCCTCACATAATCAACAGTGAGGCTATGGCATAATTCAGGTGTTCAATGAGATTAAAGTGAGAAATTAAAGACTGGGGGGAAAAAAACTCACACAATACAGATTTACAAGAAAAACTGATATTTTGTCAGGTTGTATGTCATGAATTTACAAGAAAAAAATAATAAAAACATCATCTAGTTTTCATTTTAACAGCATATAGGCATGGTGATGGCCAACGTTTCAATTAATGAAATTATAATAGTGTATGCAGACACTTTGAGTGTACATTCATTGTGTGTGTGTTTATCTGACATGCCTGAGATTTGACTCAGTGACTTGATGTGAACTTTTAGGGCCCATTAGGAATGTTATATTTGAAACTGAGGCTGAGAGTTGAGTTGTTAAATTCCATGGACAAAACACGTGTTCTGATCAGAATTAACTAGATCATGTTCTGTTTCTTCTGCCAGGTGTGCCGTGATCACAGGTATTGCAGGAGGTGCTGTTGCTGATTTCAAGTGCAATGGGACAGAGGGCCGTTACATTAATATCGTCATTCCAAAGAGAAATGAGTTCCTAAGTCTGTGTGAGGTCGAAGTGTATGGCTCGAGACTAGATTAATGCTAAAGCAGCTAAATTTCTCTCTTAAACAAACAAAACAAATCACAGCTTTAATATAATCATGAAAAACAATTGCATCTAATTAAAAAAGAGCCATAATTTGAACTGCTTTGTTATCCACGATACAGTATAAGTGTTCAGTGATTGTAACATTTTACCAAAGAGTCCTGCAAGCACATCAGCTTTAATAGTACTACTTAGCACATATACACAGATAACACTGTATATATTAAAAAATGTTCCCATTACTCTTTAGTTAAAACAGCACTTTGTGACAACAATGAAAAACAAACATCAGCCTGCTAATGATGCATTTATTGTCACATGTTGCAATAATAATGTCACAATGTATGTATTTGTTAAGAATGTCTTTACTGACCTTGTGAACTGTGGAAACTTCACTGAACTGTGTCATGTTTTTTTTCTGTCAGAGAAAAGGAGAACTGATGAAAGAACGTCTCAGTTCTGACTGAACTGTACTGTAGAATTTACAGTCATCTGAAAAAAAAGTATAAGAAAAATGACTTTCCAATTTTTCTTGACAACTAAACATTTGTTCCCGTTTAAAACAGTGTCTTTTAATAAATTTGGTATGAATAAACAATATCACAAGTGAATTTATTTTGTTAATATAATTTTTTTTCTATTCTGCAAAAAATATAAATACATTTAATATTCGTCTCTGTAAAAACTAAGTACATATTTAGTCTTAGGAACTAGTACGCCTCTGTTTAAGAGAATAACTTTGTTAACTACATCACTGCCGTAGGATAGCTGTCATTTGAATTGTTTCTGTAGTTGTTTTGATTGTTGGTGAAATTACTGAATGCACAATAGATGTAACTCTGTGACTGTCAAATTGATATGATGTGATTATATGATGTTCATAATGTGTATCACCTGGCTGAGATCAGACACACACACACACACATATATAAATATAATCCATCCATCAGTCCATCCGCTTCCGCTTCTCCTTTTCAGGGTCGCGGGGGGCGCTGGAGCCTATCCCAGCTGTCATAGGACGAGAGGCGGGGTACACCCTGGACAACACGTTCTCACTTCCAAAGCGTAACATTTTAGGCTAGGTGACAAATCGTCAACATATTACGTTTTCGGCTACCCACCACGTTCCTAAATGACGACCTCGGAAAAATGAGGAAATATGAGAACCGTCTGGACTCAATCTACACATGTGCGCTCTTTTTCTTCAAATCGCTTAGAAACACGCTATTTAACGTCATTAAAGTCCTGGTTAAGGTCACGAATAAGGCTATGGTTAGGGCTAGGGATATGGTTAGGTTTAGGGCTGGAATACAGGGCTGGAACGTCTATTACCGCGGGAGCGTCATTGCACTGGATTTCAGCCATAACCCGCCGCGTACCATAAGAACGCCGAAGGTCTCCTTTTGCGTTCCACAGGAACACAGCGGGACGTGACAAAACGTCGGCATGTTACGCCTCGGGAGTGAGAACGGGCTGCCCTGGACAGGTCGCCATTCTGTTGCAGGGCCAACACACAGGGACAGACAACCATTCGTGCTCACATTCACACCTAATGGCAATTTGGATTTTCCAATTAACCAATCCCCACAAGCTGCACGGTGGGAGGAAGCCGGAGTACCCGGAACATGCAAACTGCACACAGAAAGACTCCGGCCTGATGTTGGAATTGAACTCAGGACCTCCTTGCTGTGCGGCAACAGTGCTAACCACCCTGCCACCGTGCTGGCACGGTGGTTAGCTGTCTAACCACCTGCTGCCTTATAAATATAATAGTATCACTAAATCACAAGCTGAATATTTATCTGTTTTCAGACACCAAAATACAGAAGTCACTGAGTATTTGTAATATGTAATTTGTTAATATTGTATATTAACACCCAGGCAAGTGAAAAAGTACCACTGAGCAGTTTTACTTGATTTGTTCATATTTGGTAACACTACACACGTTAAGGCAGCATCGATGGCGGATGGGTTTAGGATTTCAGAAAAAGTTCCTTTCTAGAGCTTGTATCTTGTTCTTTTGGTTACTATGCAAAGTTGATAGTCCCAGGTGAGGTTAGAATTAAACTAGCCACAAAACACTTTCACCTTCTTGCTCAGCTTTCTCTTCATCATGAGAGACACCACAGCTCCGTCTGTCTGTACATCAAGTAACTTGCTTTGAAACCCAGGAAAGGTGTGTGTCATTTTAGGGAGCATACAACAGATACTTTTTTTTAGGATGCATAATTTGTCTGTTCAGGAGATAAGAGTTGATTCAAGTAATTACTCAGTTTTTTCATTTCATTCAGTTATTTTAATCTGGTTTATAGATTTTTCTTCAGCATGCTAAAAACGGACCTCTTCAAGTCCATTTGAATAAATAATGTGACATATGAGAAAAGATTATATTAATCAATATTGTTCACTTACAACATTTTTTAATCAATTTAAGATTAAACAAACAAACTGAAAAGAAAATGTGCTTATCTTCCAAAAACAATTCAAAGTAATCCTACACTTTTGAGCAATAGTGCATGATTAAATCTTGAGTAATAACTCCAAACAGGATATTGCAAAATAACCAGGAAAACATCTGTGTTCTGGCACGCTGGCTGGAAATATAATTCACAAGTATGGAAGTGAAACTGATGTGCAAAAAACAAAAAACAAAAAGATAAAAGAAATATCATCGGTAGCAGCTTTTCTGATTCACTGACAGTCCCAGGGGAAACAGTATCTGCTTTGTTCGGATCTTCAGGTAAGACTTTTTATTTCTTGAAAAAAAATCTTGATACAAACTTTTCTTGACATAAACCTCAGTGTGCAGCTTTCTCTTTTCTCACAGTCTGAATATAGAATGTAGACTATTACATTACCAATTTACAGCCGTGAACTTTTCTTTTTCTATTTTGAATTTCTGGTTAAACTTTTTTTGTTGTCAATTGCTTTTAGAGGCCAATCTACTTAAAAAAGAATCGAAGCTTACATCGACAGTTTATTCACGGCCGCATATTTTTTGGCAGCTTTC